TGAAAAAGTGGCCCCGGGCCGGGCCGGGCCGGAACTAGGCCTAGTGGAAGCGCAACCAAAAACGGGCACGGCACGACACGGCACGCTTAAAGCGAGCTCCGCGCTGTAGTGGAACTGCGCCATTAGTCTTACGGCCCGTCCACACAGCAGCGTTAAAAAAATCTTGGAGGTGGGCGTATCTGAAGCTTGAGGATTTTTTGCGAGCAAGGCACCAACAACCAATCACATAAATCTCCCGCCCCCGACATACGAAGCAAAAAAGCCCGAAGTAAACTGGATATAAACTCCCCAAACAGGCGAAAACCTACCACTGTCTCTGCCACCTCCCTCCATGCCTGGCTCCTCCGGTTTATATCCCGGTAGGTAAATAAGGACTGGTCATAAAGCACCGGTGATTCCCTACCGCTAATTTCTCCTCCATTTTTTGGAATATGAGGAAATGACCTGCGGTATGTCTCTCCCAGCATACACGCGGTTTGATTGGCTAGCACTTGAACTGTCAGATTTGCATACACGGGATTTGATTGGCTGACGCCTCCACCTCAGCTTCAAAAGTTGAACATTGCTCAACTTTGAATCCTGAAAATCCTGAAAATCTCCGCTCGCCTGCCCACAATGCAGTTCGGCGAAAAGTGAGGCAAAGTGACGTCACCCCATTCAAAGTGAATGGGCAGAAACGTTTCAAGATTTTTTAACGCTGCTGTGTGGACGGTCCGTTAGTCTTAGTCTTTAGACGGAAATGGTTATTAGTTTTAGTCACATTTTAGTCATTTCTATCCTTCATAGTTTTAGTCTAGTTTTAGTCGACAAAAACTCAAAACGTTTTAGTCTAGTTTTAGTTGATGAAAAATTACATTTTAGTCAACTTTTAGTCAAAATGTTTTCTCTCTTTAAACCAATTCAGTTAGGCAAATACAGGTTTCTGACATTGTAATCAAGGTGACAGCATCAAGTGTTGAAATTAGTAAAGCAACATTTCACTCTCTTAACACTTTACTTGTGTAATATCTTGGGCTGGGTATCGTTAAGGTTTTCTACGGTACTACTAGTCTTATCGATACTGCTTATCGATCCGGTACTTTAACGGTATTCTTGTATTTACTTTTGTTATTTTTTAAAGGAAAAAACTAACAAATTGTTAACCGACTTAATTGCTTTATTTAAATGTGAAATAAATGAAATATATATAATTATGTTAAAATATTGTACTGTACTTGAGTAAAATGTTGAGGTACTTTTACTTTACTGGAGTATTTAAATGTTTTGCTACTGTGTACTTCTACTCCACTACAGTTCATAGTTAAATGGTGTACTTCTACTCCACTACATGTATTTAATACCTTTAGTTACTTTACAGATGTGGATGAATGATGTGAAATATAATCAAGTGTTAACTCAGACTTTAGTAAATTCACAAGCAGTATACAAAGTCCTTCAAACTAGCTGCACCTTTACTAGCGTTGAGAACACTTTAATGATCAATCATTATAAAACATATCATATATATTATTCTGAAATGGACCAATCTGCACAATGACTACTTTTACTGTCGCTACTTTAAATATATTTTGATGATCATACTTTGACTTCAGGAACTCTTCCTACACTATGGTATTTTTTTACTTAGCTACAAGATCTGAGTACTTCTCCCACCTCTGCACACCTGATGTGATAACGTTACTCGTAATTGGGGCAACAGAGCTACGAGTTAAGGAAGTCGAAAATTGTGCATTTCTCCGACTGAATATGACGCCTTTTGGCCGACTGTTTGGACAGACTACTCTACTCGTATCAACGCGCTAACGCGAACACATGGCAAACGAGCTTTGTCCACATCGAGTCTTGTAGAGTGTCTCTATACTCTCTGAACGCTCCGTCCCCGGCAGATCTCTGCCCGCACACAGAGAGAAAGGGAGATCGCTCTTCTGGAGTGAAGAGAGCGGAAATAATGATATTGCAAGTTAGAAATGTAAGATGCATTTTGACAGACAAGACACTTGGGGGGGAAATACCCTGCATTTTTAATGTCCGATAGTCCACCATTAACACCTTAGTCCCGTCTCGTCTCGTCAACGAAAACTAAATATACATTTCGTCAAATTTTCGTTATCAAGAATCTATTTTTAGCTCGTCATCGTCTCGTCTTAGTCATGTAAAAAAGGTCGTTGACGAACATTTTTCGTCATAGTTTTCGTTGACGAAATTAACACTGCTATACAACAACATCTGAAAGGTCAAAAAAACAAACAGGGCTAGACAGCCATTTGTAGCATATGGGAGAATGGTGATGTGAACTCAACACGTAGTCACTCAGAGGGGGGTACTAATTATTTTCAAATGCGCATAGGAAATGCTATCTATTTACATGTACTGTAGGCTCTTTCACTCAAGAATTTGAATTTGAATGGGATGGGGAGACGCTCTGCCAACACTGACCCAATCTTCTGCTCCTTACAACCCACTCACTGCCTGTGTTTTAACATTCGTACATTTCTGAATGAGGCCTAACATTCCGAGGTTATTCTGTATTTTCTGAGTTCTTGGTCATTTTCCACAGGGGCGTTGGGAGATGGCACATCAGCATAAATACAGCGCTGTGACACCACACCTCAGCAGGAGCCGAGGTAGCGTGCAAACCATAGGCGGCTACCCTGAGTTAGGAATGTCATGCTTAGTCACACTGCAGATGGCCGTTTCCAATTTAAAATCAGATTGTATCACGCTGCAGCATGCACTTCTTGATTCCAAACTGCTATTGAACAGTAAGAAAACCAAAGCAATGCTTTTTGCTCCCAAGTCAGCGTCCTCCTCTTGCCTCTCCATTGACACAAGTTTGTGACAAGATGAGAAGTCAACAGGTATTCACTCAGAGGGGGGTAGGTACTAAATGCCACCCATTTACATGTAGGCAAACAAAGTCAAAAATCAACATACAGTAGGGGGGTGGGGGATGGTGAACGGTATGTGGGACACTGAAAAGTCTATGTTAAAAAGCCTCAGTCACCTTAATTCATGTAATAAAAACATCTCAGGTCAGTAACACTGAAAGCTAAATGTGCAATACCATGTTCAGCTATGTTACTATTTATAATGTTATTGTTGTTACAACAGAAGATGTTTTTCTTTATATTGAAGTTAAATGCATCAATCTGGTGCACTTTGAGGTCAAAATTAAGAGATGTATGGATACCGCTGGAAAAAGCTGCAGTACATATGCCGAGCCTGTACGTAGCGCTGTAACTTCCTCCACAAAAGCAGCCTTCTGTTTATTCAACGTGGTGGGGGCCGAGGGAACCGGGCAGAGTTTTTCGCCGGTCAACCTGTGTGAAAGTTTAAATCTTCCTTATTGAGCTTTAAAACAAATGAATAACGACTATATATAATAATAAAATAAACACCGGCTGTTGTTATGCCCGCTGTAACATTAAATTACTCCGTTCTCCGCTTGTAATTATGCCGTTACAAGCTTCATAGTTGTATTTATCATCTAAATTTGCCGAAACAAGTTTAATATTCTGAAAGCCAAGACTTTGTTTATTTGAAATCAGATGAAAACAAACTGTAACGGACCCTGCCGTGTTATCTATGATTACTATATGCCTTACTGTACATTCATAATTTCAGCCGGAGGGAGGGGGGCGGCGCTGTGGAAGAGCAGATTGCGAGTGAGAGGTGCTTGTCATCTTCCCTTTGCAAGCTTCACAAATGTATTTATCGTGTGATTTTGGAAATAAAAGTTTCATATTCATACGTGGGTAGCTATGACGTCAGAAGGAGTTACCGTAAATGAGAGCTGCCGTAAAAGTGTTTCTAGGATTTCTAAACGAACTATTACAGCTGTTATAAAGCATTAAATAAAAAGTGCAATTCACCTATACTTAACCCCAAATAAAAGAACCCAATAAAAACAGTTGTTAAATAATAGTGAAGTCACGTTGTAATAATAACTCATCTCTCGGTTTGAGTGTTCTTTTTCTGCTTTGCCAAAAGCCACTGTGTCAAGTGTCTAGTGACTATTTCTCTTAGCGGATGCATGTCAATTTAAATCAATACATACAACTATTTTTTAAATCAATAAAAACATTTTCTAAATCCATAAAAGCATTTCAATTAAGATTGGGAGTCATGTCGTTACTTTGTTGAGAATGTGGCCATGTAATAAGCGGGATAATTTGCAGTGACTTGGTCATTGTGGGGAAAAATAACATCCAGTGATCCTGATCGTTTCAATGAAGTTGAATACAGAATATTCATATTTGTCAGTGATTTCATGCCAATTCGGCGAACATAAACATAAATGATCGTGGTGAAGATGATGATTAAATTAGGATTAAAAATCGGGAGAGCCGGCTGCATTTCCTCTCGTTCGTTTTTTTCGACTAAACAACATTATTTTGTTAAATAACAACATGGTGATGTTTTGTAAATGATTACATGCCTTATTTAGCACAGACTATGATCCTATCCGTGACATATGGATCTTAACAAAGATCCGCTATACAGTAGTACCAGACATACTGTACATCCAGCTTACTGTATCGAAGTTGATTTCACATGAGCTCCAGTGTGGAACCCCACTGCACCCCCTGGTGGATCAATGATCCATTGCAGCTGGCTTCACAATAATTAAATGTATTTATCACGGGGGCGGTATCAAGTCAGACTGGGGGCCGGCTCTTCATCACGAACCTTTCACGGGCCGATCACGGACCGTGCACGAGCCAACCACGACCCTCGCGTTTCAAACTGTCCTAAATAAGACGCTCCATCTGTACAGCCCTTTATCCCCCCATACTTTGAAGGCCGGTCCGTGAAAATATTGTCGGTCCAGGCAGGAAATGAAAAAGTTAAATACATTTGAAAAAGTCACACTTGACTCTACGTTGCTGATTTTTTGTCAAGTCTGTAAAAAATGTTTTTTGTGACATAAGCCTACAGTATAACAGAGTAATAATAATGTATTAAAAACCCAGCAGAGCCTGGTTTTAACCAACACTCACCCTGTTGCTCCTGCTCTGTCGAAGTGTAAAATGGAGTCTGGCTTCATCACTTCCACTTCCCTCTCTGCAGCTCCTCCCTCTGTTTATCAGCAGAGGAGAAGTACACAGATCTTCTACTTGAGTAAAAGTAGAAGTACACAGATCTTGTACTTGAGTAAAGTAGAAGTACTCAGATCCTGTACTTGAGTAAAAGTAGAAGTACTCAGGTCTTGTACTTGAGTAAAAGTAGAAGTACTGAGATCTTGTACTTGAGTAAAAGTAGAAGTAGGCCTACTCAGATCTGAGTACTTCTTCCACCTCTGATTGGCTGAAATAATCCTCTTTACAATTCCCTGCTACGTCAGTTATTCTCATATGTGAAGAAGGGACAAAGCTGAAATGTTGCAATTGTGGAGGGGAGCATAGCTCAGCGTACCGTGGATGTGAGGTTAGCAAGAAAGCAGAAGAGGTGCAGTGAGTCAGGGTGACGCAGGAAGTTAGCTATGCAGAGGCAGCAAAGAAAGTTTCAGGAGGAACGCAGGTTACAATGCAAAACAACAATAAGAGCAAAGAAACAGAAAAAGTCCACAACTGTGTTAAGTTGAAGGAGGACACTCTGATAGTGAGTAAAAGAGAGTTTGTACTGTTTATGGCAGAGATTATCAACTGTTGAGCGCAGACTACAAGCCGGAATGAAATAATCTAAATAATTGTCAAATCAGCTGAGAAGTGATGTGAAAGGGTTGCACTGGGAACATGTGAAAGATATCCTAAATGATGACGTCCAACAATCTCAGACATGGCCTGGATCATCCTGATGGTGTTAATTGTACTGCAGTGGAATGCTAGAAGTTTAATTGCAAATGGACAAGAGTTCAAAAAAGATATTGACAATCTGGGAGAGAAACCTAATGTACTTTGTATTCAGGAAACATGGCTGAAACCACAACCCCCTCTGACTCTGGCAGAGGGGGAGGAGTTGCAACATTCATACAGAGTGGTATAAGTTACAAAGTTATGCATGTAAGTACAGATCATGAAGCAATAGTTATAAGGGTATGGAATGATAGAGGACCTATAGATATAGTTAATTATTATAATCCATGTGGGAAATTAAATCTAAGTATATTAGAGGATGCTGGGGGTTCACTGCAAGACAAAGTAATATGGTGTGGGGATTTTAATTCACATAACTGGCTATGGAGAAGCAGTAGCACAGATGCAAATGGTGCAGTAGTTGAGGAATTTATAGATGACCACGGGCTAGTGTGTATTAACACTGGGGAAGGAACACGATATAATTGCACAAAGAATATAGAAACAGTATTCGACCTGACATCTAGTGCTATAGCAGGTATAAGTACATGGAATGTGGTAAAGCATGCTACAGTGCAGCGATCATTATCCGGTAATGACTAAAGTTGGGACCAACATAAGTTTTGAAAAGGAAAAGAAAATTCCTAGATGGAAATTGGGAAAGGCTAATTGGGATGCCTTCCAAGTTGTAAGTACGAATAGATGTGAAACACTTAAAGGTAGGGTAGGTAAGTTTGAGAAACCGGCTCGAGAGACACTTTTTGTTATATTCCATGGAATGCTCTTAACATCCCGATAGCAATGAATATCTTAAGTGCTTTGACAAAAAATCCATTAAAAAATGTCATCTGTGGAAGCCGTAGTACTGTAAAAAGCACAACCAATCATTTTAGCCGGCTCGGCTAAAATGATTGGATGGCCAACCTGCCTGTCAGCCTTCCATCGGGGCACAAACTTATCTCGTGCCCTCATTGGTCATGTGCGCGTTCGTGTGTGTTGGAGGAGGGGCAGATTTTCTCCGGTTGTGTATTTTCAAATTCTAGCGCACTCGAGCTGGTTTCTCAAACTTACCTACCCTACCTTTAAAGAGGAAAATGATGATGATATAAATAAATTAAATGATGAGCTGGTTAAGGTTATCATTCATTCAGCTGAGGAAACAATTCCGGAAATTGCAGGAGCTAGGCGTACCAAGAGTGTACCCTGGTGGAATGGTGAATCTAACAAATCCATTAAAGACAGAAATAAAGCATTCAGGCAACTCAAAAAACTCCATTCTCAGGAAGCTTTGAATCAGTATAAAAGGGCCCAGGCTATAGTAAGGAGAACAATAAGAACGCAAAAACGCACTTTTGGAGGCAATATTGCAATAGTATTGGAAGAGAAGTACAGCTTGCAGATGTTTGGGGCATGATTAGGAGAATGGGGGGGAATTCGAATAAATTATGAGTTACCAGTTTTGAGCAGAGGGGACAATATGGCTGTCACAAACTTAGGAAAGGTCCTAGCTCAAACATTTAGGAAAAGTTCATAGTTCAGATAACCTTACAGAGGAAGCCAGGCAGTGCAAAAATAATAGACTAATGGAAAACCCGAGCATATTGGATAGAGTAGAAGCGTTAGGGCAGGGGTGTCAAACTCAAGGCCCGGGGGCCATATCTGGCCCGCGACTTCATTTTATGTGGCCCCACAAGAGCTTGCAAAGAATAAAATATGTTTATTATACGGTTACATGCTACTTTACAGAAGCACGTTGCCCATAAACGACATGTCCCACAATGCATCTCAAATTTAACTTTTTCAGTATGCATTTTTTCTCAGAATTTGACTTTTTTTGTCCAAATATGCCTTTTTTCTTAAAATGTGCCTTTTTCTCATGAATAGATTTTTTTTTCAAAATGTCACTTCTCTTTTTCAAAATGTCACTTCTTTTTTTCTTTTAATGTGGCTTTTCTTTTAAAATCATATTGTGACATTCTTACTGAAGAGACTTGCAATTATTTGCCCTAGACTTCTGCTTTCAGACGTAGTTAATTATGAAGTTATTACCCTATCCGATAATAATCCAATGCAGAGGCAATAATGTAATATAATACATTATTATATTCAATATTTATATATGTCTTTTTATATAGTCTTAAAGTTACAACCGGCCCTTTGAGTGCAACCATAATGCTGATGTGGCCCGTGATGAAATTGAGTTTGACACCCCTGCGTTAGGGGATCAATTAGACCTGCATTTTAGTATGTTTGAGTTGAGAAGAGCAATTACTAGTGCTCGCCAAACCACTCCTGGGAAAGATGGTGTTTGTTATAAAATGTTGGAACACATGACAGATAACTCTCTAGCCTTTGTGTTAAGATTGTTTAACAGGGTGTGGGATACTGGTCAACTTTACATTACATTACATGTCACTTGTTAGATGCTTTTATCCAAAGCGACTTACATACTCAATACTGACTGCAGTGGGGTTTGAACCTGTGACCCCCTGATCCCAACACCAACGCACAACCCACTGCACCACACGCCTCCACTTCCATCAGTGTGGAAACAAGCAATAATAGTGCCAATCCTAAAGCCAGGGAAAGACCCTTCAGATCCATCCAGCTACAGACCTATTGCCCTGACATCTCATTTGTGCAAAATCATGGAAAGAATGGTTACAGAAAGGTTCACGTATATCTTAGAAAGTAAAGCTCTGTTATCACCATATCAAAGTGGGTGTCGTAGGGGTCGGAAAACAATGGATTCTATATTGTAGAATCCATTGTATATATATTTACATTACAATTTAATAAAAAATATCATAATGACAAACTTTGGTTTCAATACAACACATAAGTCAGACTTCTCACAGGTTGCTCATGTAACTATCATAGGAGGCTGTGGCTCAGTGAGGGAGTGCGCTGAACTTCTGATTACTGCAGTCAGCATGTCGTGGGTTTGCCCACATCCTGTCGCTTTGGATAAAAGCACAGAGAGCAAGAGTACACACACCTTTACTCAAGTAGAAGTACAGATACTCGTGTTTAAAAATACTCTGGTAAAAGTAGAAGTACTGACTAAACTTCTTTACTCAAGTAAAAGTAAAGAAGTAAGGGCTTTGAAATGTACTTAAGTAAAAAGTACCCATAACTAGCAGCTGTTTTAAAGAGTACCTGACCTCCCTTTATATTAATAGAACAATAATGTCATTGTTAGCTAATGAATGTTTCCATGCTGAACAACGGCAACATGACAAAGTTTTCATTGGTCCCTCTTCTTTAGAGAAGACCAGGAAATGATGGATACACGGATCGTGTTCAAATCAATAGGCAAGCAATGACTCTAAATAATAATGATCACACCACCAAACACACATTCAAACTAAAGTAACCAGCCTGTTTGGAAAATGTAAAAAGTCGTCAGAAAAATAATCTGAGACCTGTGTACACCTTCAGACAGCCTCCAAGTGAAGCACACGTAGTTTACTCACAGTTTGAAAGCAGCGTGGAGAAGTCTTCAGCTGTGGAGCTGTGATCCGCTCTGGTTAAACTGTGATACGACTTCTGTGGCTATCTACCAGCGATCATGTTTAATATTAAAGACTATACACATGTATCCCTTATCAAAATGGTATTCTGCACTTTGCAGCACTTTTCCAGATAAGATGTGACTGTTTACTTGGTTAAGTTTTGTTATGCATCGATACAGCGACACCAAATGACAAGGGCACTCACATACGTTGAGAACTAGAAACACAAATCACTTTTTCACACTGTTGTGAACATGTTTTATGCTTTTATCTTTGTGGTCTTTGTTCTCATATGTTTGATCTATTTCTGTATAACTTGGTAATATTCATATGATCGTCGGTGATGATTATAACTACATAACGAAACACATGGCCTGATTTGCATATTTGAACTTAATGTGTGCACTGGAATACATTTATATGTAAAATTACCACTTATCACAACATAATGTGGACTGGCAGGCTGATAAACTAGGATATCTGATCTCGGTGGGTCTTAATGAGGCTTGATACAGACCTCAGTCAGTATACTATTTATAAGCAAATGCCTACTATAATATTTATATTATATGGCTTAAAGTGTACATAAATTCGCTCACATTATAAATGATGGTTGGGTTGCATTTTTCTGAATCTTTTAACAATGTTAATGTGTGAAATTCAGCTGTGATGAATGAAGATGTCGTATTGATCCGTGGCTCACTCATAACGCGCAGGACTCGAGTGATTTTTGCTGTTGGGACTCGGGTTTGAGTCCAGCATGAACTTTTTAATTATTTTC